ATCTCACATTGATGAAAAGGAAAAAAAATTCTGCAAATCTTTGTCATCCCATATCACTTATATGGAGGAAAAAATCAACCAAATTACAAGTTGATGTGAATATTTAATTGGCCAATTAAAAAATGTGAGTGAAGAAATGATTCAAATGCAAAATTTTAGTATCAAATCCACCAACAAACATAATAGCTTGAAAAAAATATAATACATGGTTCAAAGAGATTAAGCATTGAAATTAAGAAATACATACCCGAAAACCTTTAATTTTTTGGAACCGAACATGATTAATTTTAGACCAAATATATATAGTGAAACATATAAATAAAAGAATTGATCTCACATTGATGAACATGAAGAAATATTTTGGAGCTCTCTATCTTTCGATATCACTTTTATATAGAAGAAGAAATCAACCTAAAAACCAACTTGATGTAGTGATTTAATTAGCCATTAGAAAAATTTGAGTGAAGAAACCATTTAAATTGGTCTTACTATATTAATATGGTGATTTATTTTTTTTACTTAATTTATTATTTATTGCATATTGTATTAAAATGCTAAGTTATGGTCAATTATGCTTGTTCGTTTTCCAATAAAAATATATAGTTTATAGATTTTTTACACACATGACACAACAACATTCAAGTCTTCTTTGCTTCGACATTGGTCGTTACATTCGTCGGTAATTCTTCGGCAAACGGTGAACCAGTAAACGCTGAATTATAACCGTCGATCTTTGCATTGACTATGATTGTACCGGCGTTTTCCGGTAGATGATTGCGTATGATATTGTGGTACAAATATACTCTCATGATTGATTAGAGAATGAAGACGATGATGAAAAAAATAAAATAAGAACTTAAAACTTTTGATGGTTCTTATGTGTTTAGGTTGTTGTCACGAACGTTTTTTTTTTTTTTTTTGTCAACCGCTTTTAATTAATGCTCAAAAAAGCCATTCCTGGGGAATGTTGTTTACATATGTGATATGATGCGGTTCGGTACGAATTTTTCGTGCCAAATTATCCGCTTTTACATTTGCACTACGAGAAATTAAAGATAAAGAAAAATTTGAAAATTCCTCCTTGTCGCTCTGTAACTCCTCCAAATACACTGAAAATGCCGGCCATTCGGTTGGAGAAGACACCATCTTCACCAAGTCTGAACAGTGTGAAAAAAGCTACATCTTGGTTGTCTGCACCTATCATGCACTTCATCGCCCAAAGAAGAGCTTCCACTTCGGTATGTAAGGGAGAGAGACTTCTACGTATGTTGGCAGCTCCCATAGTTGGCGCCTCTCCATTTGCTGAAGTACATACCCAACCAGTACCTGAGAACTTATCACTTTCTTTCCACGATCCATCCACAAAACAACGATGACCAGAATAGATAGTATCACAAGAAATATCCCTTACTCGAGCTCGAGTATCAAGAACCAAAGAACCTAAATTTTCAGTATGTAGCTCGACTTGAGCTGCCTGCCACGATTGTGCCTCTTTTTCTGCTAAACATAAAACTTCCTGTGGGTCCTTATCCACATTATCAAAAAATTTCTCATTTCGTGCTTTCCAGATTTACCATATTATCCATGGATATGACGATGAATCGAATTCTGAGGGTATTCTCCAAAATAAGTGATCCAAATTAGCATAAATAGACGTCGAGGGAAATATGCCTGGAACCGTAGGAATCTGCGAAAGTGCCCAAATTTGCCAGGCAGGGTGGCATTCAAAAATTGTATGATTAATAGTTTCCACTTCCGCACCGCACCTTGCGCATCCTATGTCACAATTTATCCCTCTTTTCCGCAAATTCTCTGTGATCGAAACACAGCCTGCTAACATTTGCCACAAAAAGTGTTGTAGTTTCGGCGGGCATTGCACTTTCCACGTATGTGCTTTTAGTAATGTGATTTCCGGGCCAATAAACGGCAGAGAATTTTCCAGATTTTCTAGCCGGGCCGTATGATATCCAGATTTAACTGAATATTTTCCGGATTTTGTGAAATGCCAGCCTAGAGTATCCTCCTTTGTTGGCGCACCCAAATGTAGAGTGCTTATCAGAGGGACATCTTCCGGATCGAAGAGCTCATTCAAGAGATCCATCTTCCAAAAATTTGTCCGTGTATCTACAAGATTGATAACTTTTAAAGACGGGTCAATAATTGAACCGTTACTTTTTGCTGGTCTCGGGAATTGAGCTGGAATCCATGGGTCCTCCCAAACTGAGATGGACGCCCCAGATCCGACTCTTTTAATAAGTCCTTTATTAACCAGAGATCTAGCTGAGCATATACTTCTCCATCCATAGGATGGAGAGTATGATTTAATATTATCCAGAGGATTAGATTTACGAAAATACCGACCTTTGAAAACTTTCGCAAATAGTGAATCTGGGACCGTGATCAAACGCCATAATTGTTTCGCTAGTAGAGCCGAATTAAAATCATCTACATTTCGAAAACCTAGTCCACCTTCCAACTTACTATGACACAGTTTATTCCAGGCCATCCAATGCATACCTTTAGATTCACCGTTTGAACTCCACCAGAATTTCGCAACCGCACTTGTAAGTTTAGAAGTAATTGTTTTCGGTAGTCTGAAGCACGACATAACATAAGTTGGAAGTGCTGCAGCTACCGATTTAATCATTACTTCTTTTCCGCCTTTTGATAAAAATTTTGCCGACCAACCGTTTATTCGTGTTTGTAATCTATCTCTAACAAAAGAAAATATTTTTGTTTTCGATCCACCTAGACTCTCTGGTAAACCTAAATATGAACCCATGCCTCCAATGTTGGTAATTCCCAACACCGCTTTAACTTCTGGCTTGATTGATTCGTCCACCTTATGACCAAACTGAATTGATGACTTTGTGAAATTATTCTGTTGTCCCGAAACCGCTTCGTATTGTTTTAGAATCCTCAAAATTACCTCACATTGCTCTTTGTTGGCTTTGCAAAAGAACAAACTATCATCAGCGAATAATAGATGAGAAACCGGAGGACTTGCTGTTGCTACTTTAATAGCAGTAATCAACTTTTGTTCTTCCGCTTTCCTTATATTTGCAATTAGCACTTCCGTGCAAAGGATAAATAGATAAGGGGACAAAGGGTCCCCTTGTCTTAGTCCCCTTTCCGGTATTATTAATCCTCTAGGTTGGCCGTTAAGAAGAACCTTATATTGAACCGTTGTGACACACCACATTATCCAAGATATCCATTTCTCACAGAACCCCATTTCTCTTAATAATTCTTCAATAAACTTCCATTCCACCCGATCATATGCTTTACTCATATCAGTTTTAATAGCCATAAATTTTCCTTTACAAGTTGGATTTGTTCTTAAGCCATGGAACAGTTCCTGCGCTATAAGAATATTATCTGAGATTAGGCGGCCTTCAACAAAGGCCGACTGCGTTTCCGAGATTAGGTTTGGCAAAACCGTCTTGAGTCTTTGGCACAAAATCTTTGAAATAACTTTGTAACCTACATTGCAAAGACTAATGGGCCGTAATTCTGTCATCCGTGTCGGTCGCTCCGTCTTTGGGATAAGACATATGTTTGTCGTATTTAACCGTTTGTCAAAAATTCCTTCTTGTAAAAAAGAGTTTACAAGGAGTACCGAATCCGTTTTAATGGTAGCCCAAGCTTTCTGAAAAAACAAAGCTGTCATACCATCCGGTCCAGGTGCTTTTCCGGATGCATCATAAACAAAACCGTTCGCACCTCATTTTCTGTCGCAGGCACCGTTAAGGAATCATTGATCTGGTCCGTTATCAGTGTTTTAACCTCTGCCAATGGTTCTTCAAAAGCCTGAGGATTAGTTGTGGCGAACAAATTCTCAAAATATGAAACCGCTATTTGCTGTATATCTTTATCCTCTGCGTGCCATGTTCCATTTTCATCATGTAGCCCGGTGATTCATGTACCATGTTCCATGTTCCTGGCACGTCTCTGTTTAGTAAGAGCGTGAAAATATTTAGAATTATTATCCCCTAATTTCATCCAAAGACTCCTACTTTTTTGATACCAATATTGTTCTTCATCTCGGTAAGCCTCTTTTAACCGCATTGTTAAATCTGTAATTTCCTCTCTTGTTCTCCTATCATCTCTCTGTGCCGCGTCCAATTCAGATTTAAGCTCCTCTATTGTCTTTCGACCATAGGGATTTAGCTCTTTCCGCCATTGAGAGATAGCCCGTCTACAATTCGTTAGTTTTTCCACAAATTGTCCCTCGCTTGAACCGGTATCCAAATTCCACCCATTTGAGATTGCTTCTAATAAACCTTCCTTTCCAATCCATCTCTTATCAAACCGAAAACTTCGCTTCCCACGTGGTAGTCTATCCGCAATCGTAGCTATCATTGGTGAATGATCTGAGGCTACCATTGGTAGGTACTCAATGAATGAATTGCAAAATAACTCATGCCAATCTTCATTCGCTAAGCCCCTATCTAAACGACACCGTATTGGTTTTTTATCCCGCCAACCCCGCCAAGAAAGCTAGTCTCCAATATAAGGAAATTCCAATAGACCGCAATCTTGTATCATTAAGTTAAAAGGTATGAAAGAAGATGCATGTCTTAATTTACCGCCTCTTTTTTCATGGTTCCCTGTTAATTCATTAAAGTCACCTATTAAAAACCATGGAGTATCCCGAGATAGCCCAATTCGCGTTAACCGCTCCCAAACTTGTTCCCGATTTTTAGGAACCGGATCTCCATAAACAAAGGTAAGATGAATGGTTTTACCCTTATAAATTGCTTCAATATCAATTAACCGATTGCTTTGAAAAATAATTGAGACATTAAAATCATTATTATAAAAGAGAGCTAAACCACCACTACAACCGATAGGATCAACCGTTTTTAAATTTTTATAACCAAAATGACCAATAAATTTTTCCATAAACCAAGAGGATTGTTTAGTTTCCGAGAGAAACAAAAAATCCGGCCGATATTGTTTCCACAAATCCCGAAGATTACCGATAGTTGCCTTATTTCCAAGACCTTGACAATTCCAGCTTAAGACTTTCATTTATCAACCTTCGGTTTTGGTGGTTTTCCCCCACCAGGTACTCCCTTCACCGTGCCATGGGACGTCGGGTTATTGCCTTCCTTTCCTTGGTCACCGCCCTTTGCAGCATTCCTCTTCCTAGGTGATGTGAAAAGTTGAACATTCCGCTTTTTAGAGCTAACCCCCTTAAGCAGGAGTGGACCTTTCTGTTTTTGAGACCGCTCTGTATCTGCCTCCGTAGCTTCAGCTTTTGCTGCCACCATATCAGAATGATCCGACTCCTCCACATCGTCATCATCGGCCATCTGCTCACTAGTCGTGTCCTCCATTGTGTAATCATGGGACTGATCAAGCGGACAAGAAGACGAGACTAAAACCGTACCATCCATGAGATCATCCCCGTCAACCTCATCAGTAGACATAAGTGTGCTTACCTCCTTTTGAAACTCAGCATCACCGTCTTCAATTAAACCAGCCCCGCTCTTTAGAGGCAAAGAACTTTCTGTCACAGTGACTGAATTCTCCACAGAAGCTGGGCCCGCAACCTCCACCGAATTCAAACCAATCTCTTTACCCTTCCCTGAGTCTTCCTCCAGCCCGACTTCCATAGCAGTCCCCGCAGCATCATCACCATGTGTCTCCTGTGAAGAAAACAAAGCTTTTCGGACTTGTTTCGGTTGAAAAAACACCGCAGCTTTGGATGATTGTCCCTGTGATTCTGACAGTGTCTTGCCCATCCCCTGAGTCTGCAGCCTCTTACTTCCATACCCACCAGCTTTTGAAAAACGATGCTCATTAAATTGAATGTAACTTGCAAACTGACGAGGTTGAGGAACCAACGCACCCTTGTTATTACCAGACAGATTCTGATTTTTAACATCATTTCCAGCTTCCATACTAGACTTACCTTTAGACCCATGTGAAACCTTGCCCCCTTGATTTAGTTCATGTCTTGCAACCTGAGAAACTGCTCCTCTGTAGCTTTGAACAAGGCTGTCCGTAATCACCTCCGCCACTAAAAGCTGTTTCCCGGAACCTGTGACCGGATTAAGGGCGCAGACCGATTTATCGTGACACAAGCTGAAGCAAAGTTCACAGAAACCAAACAACCTTTCGTATTGAAAAAACATGACAGTCTCCTCCCCATTGCCGAACTCAATCTCTGTTTCAAAACAAAGAGGTTTGAAACCATCAACTGTTACTTGAATCCGCCCACCAACAATATCAACCGCTTCCACTTTGCCCAAGTCTTCCCCTATCTCCCGAAATGTTTGGTCAGCCCAGTATTCTATTGGGACGCCAAGAACACGAATCCAAAACGTTATTGTAGAAGGGTAGTTAGGATCCACCAAGGGCGCCCAACGCACTAGAGAGACCACCCAGTGATCAAAATGCAGCGGCTCCATCTTCAACACCTCCACAATATCCTCCTCAGCCTCAAAATCAAACTGAAACCGGCCAAGTCCCAAATCTGCTCCCGCCACTCTTCCTTCAAGCTGCCAAATACGCGGTAGCATAAAGAGCAAAGTCTTCATCTCTTGCTTGCTTGGATTCATACACCGGCCATAAGAGTCTTCGAGTATCCCGCAATCAGAGCAGAATTGTCAAAGGGGGAGAGCTTGATCCTCCTCTTTGGCGCCTTACCATTAACCATCGACCCTACCGTGCTCTTACCCAAAAAGCCACTTTGAGACATACTTAAACCCCAACTCCAATGAACAAACTCACTCTCCAGAGAAAAAAACAAAACTCAGAGAACAAGTACCGAGAAAAGAAGAGAACAGTTTATGAGAATGATGCTTATTAGGTGCTAGCTCAAGTCACGAACGTTATTTATATAGGATTATGTATGCATTTGTTTTACTGGTGGGATTTGGAAACATATTTATTATATTAACTATAGATAATATATTTTTTTAAAGGTTTTTTTTTGTCAACCTTTTCCAAATTTTCTATTTTTTTCCTGTTATTATCTTATTTATTTTCATTTTTAAAATACTAGAAATCTGATTTACTTTTTTTTTTTAATCAAAATATAGGATTGGAAAAGAAAACCCCTTGGAGGAACTGAAACTTGTAGTTGTAAGGCATCCAATCGAACTTAAGTCCTAAATTCCTAATCCAACTCTATATATTGTATTCGTTTATAATAATTTAATTTATATTATGTTGCATAAATCAACAAGATAGACTTAAACTTTTATGCAAATCTATCTACATGAATAATCTAAATCCTTGATTAATTATATATATATATTATTTATGTAATGGAGGTTTATCTCAAAGTTGTATAAAAATTTAAAAGATTTCACTAAATTTTTTGATCGGTGACATGAATATTTTGACATCATTAAAAATAAAATGAATTAGATAAAAATGATTATGTATAGTTAAACATGCAAGAAAATCTTAACTCAACTAAAATATTATAAAAAAGGTATCATATTTGGTATTGATATATTTTACTTAATCGCATAATGAAACAAATAAAAAAGTTTAAAGAATAACAAAGAACCGTAAAATCGTGAAATCACACTATAATAATTGAGTACGATCAATATAATTATGATTTTGAATGAGAGTCCAATACTTTTATAAGTACTATAAATTGAATCTAGAGCATATATAAAACCATAGAAAAAGATTTAATAAGAAATAATCTATGATCTTGCACAAATCTTTTATTCAAAATTTAGTAACCTTTATGGTCCCCTTCACCCTTCATCTTTCACGTGGCAACTCGAAACGACACAATGGACAAATATGACTCCTCACAAACCACTCTTCAAAACACTCCTCGTGAAACTCGTGTCCACTAGGTAACATCACAATACTCCTTCTTTTATCAAACTCTTCCAAACAAATAGTGCACATGGCATTCTCAACGAATAGAGAGAAAGGAGAGACTCATTTGCATCATCCAATAACAAAGTATCAGCTTGTTCTAACCACATCACATTGAAAGCGCAACATATAATTTTTATTTATCTAACAAACATAAAAACTGTTCAAAAATATACATGTATTAAAATTAGGAAAGAGATACCCACAAAGGTCTAATGAAACAAATTAATGTGTCAAATATTATGAATAATTTTTTTTATTTTTTCTTTATTGTAGTTAGTACCAACTCCACCAACAAACACAATAACATGAAAAGTATAAAACATGGTTCAAAGACGAAATTAAGAAATTAAGAAATATATACCGAAAAACCTCTAATTTTTTGCGGCTAAACATAATGAATAAATAAAAAAGTTGATCTCACATTGATGAAAAGGAATAAATATTTTGCAAAACTTTGTCGTCTTATATCACTTATATCGAGGAAGAAATCAACCTAAAAACAAGTTGATGTGGATATTTAATTGGTCAATTAAAAAATGTGAGTGAAAAAACTATTCAAATGCAAAATCTTAGTATCAACTCCACCAACAAATATAATAGCCTGAAAAAGTATAATACATGGTTCAAAGACGTTAAGCATTGAAATTAAGAAATACATATCCGAAAACCTTTATTTTTGTTGGAACCGAACATGATTAAGTTTAGATCAAATATATATAGTGAAACATATAAATAAAAGAACTGATCTCACATTGATGAACATGAAAAATAGTCTGGAGCTCTCTATCTTTCGATATCACTTATATATAGAAGAGAAATCAACCTAAAAACCAAGTTGATGTAGTGATTAAATTGGCCATTAGAAAAATGTGAATGAAGAAACCATTTAAATTGGTCTAGTTATATTAATGTGGTGATTTATTGTTTTTCTTTAATTTACTATTTATTGCATATTGTATTAGTAGGCTAAGTTATGGTCAATTATGCTTGTTCCTTTTCCAATAAAAATATACAAATTATACACTTTTCACACACATGATAAAACAAAAAGCATTTACTTAATTAGGTATTGCAAATTGTATTGATGCTTGTTTGTTTTCCAATACAAAAAATACTCATTTTAAAGACTTTTCACACACACTCACTAAACGTTTAAAGTGTTTATTTATTGTTTTCATTCAATTCATTAGTCATTGCAAATTGTATTGATGGGATAATTTATGGTATATTCACTATTCATTATTTACATTCATGGATTTTTATGATTTTAAATGTGTAATATAGAGAAATTAATGTTTTTATATAGATTTGGGTTATAAATTAATTTATTATAAAATTATTTGATAGTTTTAAAATTTAATGAAAAGAAACAAAGAAAAAATAGAATACAAATATGTCTAATTTAATGTTAAATAAAACCATTAAAAAATATTAAAATATATGTCTAATTTAACGTTGTCTTATTTTAGATCGAAAAAATCACAAAATATAAAATAAATATTAGAGTATGTTATGTCATGAAATAATTTTAACAAAAAAATCTAATCTTTAATTTTATTATAAATGATAAAAAAAATAAAAAAAAAATGTAAATTAAAAGGTATCTCATAAAATTATATAATGATATAGTCAAAACTAAAAAGAATAGTTAATAATAAATTTGGATTTGAAAAAAAAAACACATGTCAAAGTGAAAGTGCCACATGTCAGTTTCTTAGAGCTTTTGTTTTAGGAGAAACCTTACTTTATTATATTTTGATTTGAAAAAAAAAGACACATGTCAAAGTGAAAAGTGTCACATGTCAGTTTCTTAGAGATTTTGTTTAGGAGAAACTTTACCTTATTATATTAGATATGGTGATCTTTTGGCTTTTTTTTTATCTTCCACTCATCTTCTTTGGTGAAAGAAAATCTTGAAAACTCAAAAAATGCTCTTGCATTTCTTATAGATCAACATTAAGAAATATTCACTATGTATTTCTCCAAGGTTATTGTTGTGCACATTATCTTCTTTTCCATTCTCTTTGTAATTTCTTCTCAATGGCGGCAAATTTGTTCTCCATCCAAATTCCTTTATAATCAGCTTTAGCTCCTTTTGGTTCTTCCTATTTTCCAAAAACACGAAGAATAAGTTTGAAATTTGGTACTAATCTTTCTCCCTTGAAGGCAATGAAATCAAGACCTAAAGGCAAAACTACTTTCTGGAGAAGAGCTTGAAGAGAAGAATGTTGATGAAGAAAATAAGTTTTTTGATGCATTTGTGGAGAAATACATTGAAAAGCTCTATCTTCCTCCTCATTTTTGTGAGGTCAAATAAACACAGTAGATGCACGTTTAAACCAAAGCTCTTAATGCTCTTCTTGAAGATTTGGAGAGTACATGATGGAAGATAAACATGAAAAAAGATTTCTACTAAGAGGAATTAGTGTTAAGATTTTGTTGGGATTATTGTTAAGCTTTTGTTAGTAGTTGTTGAGATGTAATGAGTTTAAACTCTATTTTCGCAACTTGTGGAATACATCTTGAATCTGTATTAAGTTAATTTCAAAACCTGTTCTATTTGATTATGATTTTGAAACGGAGACAAATAAAACTATGTGTACACGAGGATTTTGTCAATAAAAGATCTTTGTTCATCACACAAATAGCAGTTAAAAACAAAGTTTTAAGCAACTATTAACTAAGACAGTAGGTGCAATTTTGTATGATTTATTGCTTAAGTGTGTACCGGTCGAACTTAACTTGTAGTATGTTTTCGCCACGGTTTTGGTAAACATGAAAAAGATTTCTACTACCACTTCTTGTTTAAGGAGAAATGAGTTATAATTTGGATTCATGATAACAAATTTTTTTTTTACGATGGGAAAAGATAACTTGATTTGAGTAAAATTGAATTAAAAGTATCTTTCTTAACTTTTTCGTCTAGAGGATAAGAAAAAATTACGTTAGTATTTCATTTTTAGATGATAAGGCAAATGAATTTTCTCTATAAATATTTATGCTTCTTCATCTTCCCTTTATCTTTCCTGGTGAAGAAAACCAAAACTCAAAAAATTGCTTTGGAATTTTTTACAGATCAATTTTTGGAAATCTTCTCTATGTATATGTCCAGGGCTATCATTTGTGCACCTTATCTTCTTCTCCATTCTCTTTGAAAAATTTGCTCTTCATCAAAATTCTTTCAAAATCAGCTTCAGTTTTTTCATTCTTCCTATCTTCTAGAAACTCGAGCAATTAGCTTAAAATTTGGCACTAATTTTTCTCTCTTAAAATAAAAAATCAAAGCTTCTTTTGGAGAAGACTTAAAAGTTGATGAAGAGAATAAGTTTTTTGATGCATTTGTGGAGAATTTGTTGAAAAACTCTATCTTCGTCCCCATTTTCATGAGATAAAACACACAGTGAATGCATGTTTCAACGAAGCTTTTAATGTTCTTCTTGAAGATGTTCAAGAGTATATGAGGGAATATAAACATGAAAAAGATTCCTACTACCTCTTCTTGTTTAAGGAGAAATGGACTATAATTTGAGTGTTTGAGAATAAGTTCGTTTTCACGATGGAAAAAATATAACTTGATTTGAGTAGAATTGGGTTGAAAAAGTCTTTGTTGAATTTCTGATCAAAAAGATAAGAAAAAATGACATCAGTATTTATTTTTAGATGTTAAGGTAAATAAATTTTCTTTATAATCCTTTTGCTTTTTAATCTTTCGTTCATCTTTTTTGGTAAAAGAAAACTTTGAAAACTCAAAAAATTGCTCTAGATTTTCTTACAGATCAACGTTTAGAAATCTTCACTATAAATATGTCAAAAGCTATTGTTGTGCACATTATCTTCTTATGCATTCTCTTTACAACTTTTTTTTATTGGCAGCTAATTTCTCTCTATTAAAAATCAGCTTCGATTATTTTTCGTTCTTCCTATCTTCTAGAAACTTGAGCAATCAGATTGAAAT